TGCCCTGACTTAGATTAGCCCAGAGGTTGTTTCAGGGGTTGATCTGTCAGTTATAGCCGTGCCTTGCCTTTTATCAGCACCAGAGGTTGTCTCAGGGTTCGGGAAAAAACAAGAAGCTTGGGTGAAAGGCATGGTAATTTTTTAATCCCCCAATTTCCGCAAAACCTTACTGATAATGTTTTCCCATTCTCAYGCAGGGTATCGGTGAATGTCTGATGTCCAATCTTGGATGTTATGGGGAATTCATAAACGAGTTACGATTCATTGTCCTTCAACACATGATCATCGACAACAAATTGGGCGTTTGTACCCACCCWGACCTTAGTCGATTGGAACAAGTTTTTCATGGTATCTAAACTAAACTACTTGCTACTTTACGTCAGGGAACACGGTGCTTGGCAAAAATCGTCCAAAAACCGTTCCAAGGCCGCAGTAATTTTTTAAAACGTTTTCATTCATCAGTCACCATAAATTAGAAACAATAAAATTTAAAATATAGATCGGCCTTAATTGTTTTCTTTCCTCTCAAAAAGAAATAATGCCTGAAGGAATTATATGAAGAAACAAAAGGGTTCTCTCTCTCTCTTTCTTTCTTTTTTTTTTAGATAAAGAAGAATATCTCACGAAGATAGCTCATTGGAAAGACCTTGGTTAGTAAGACTTAATTTTAATAAATCTCGACGCGTGCGCATGATAGAGTGCTCACACTAAATCCGTGAAACAAATACTAATTTTTAGCACTAAATAGTGATAATTAAACGATAGAAAACAAAGGATTCTKTAWGAAATAGTACTAATTAGTACTATTTAATGTTCACGGTTTTAGTGCGTGCACTCTAATGTGGTTATTTATAAGCAAAGTTAACATGGAGTGAGCGGAATCTGGTTCACAAATAAAACGGCTTTCGCCGTGCTCCGTTCAGTAATAAAGCACACTAGGGAGTGGCGTAAGCACRAAAAAARTGKAACATCTACTTCAGTATTTTCAATCTCTTCATTTCAGAGGCAGACGACTTTGCACCTTGTGCTGCTAAAATGAACCGCCGCTGTGCAACTGAATTGGCAAAGGAATTCATGAGTAACAAGAAATTATGCAGTGATGTTAGTCACTTCATGGACTGCTACAAGTCTGCTCCTTGTGACGATAAAATATACAAAGATTTCGTTCAAGACTTGAAAATGTGCAAAGAAATCTTTATTCAGAAGTACGCGAAAGATTTGCGAGAACTGAGTTGTCAGTAAAGGCAATGACAAGGCAACGAAAACTTGCAGATGTCAGGATATTRGATAATGACATTACAATGATGCAGATACAATATTTATCCAAACAATGAAAAGTAAATTAATGACTTCAAGAATGTAAATGAATGACTACAATAAAAAATAAATAAATGACTTCTTCACATGCTCCAGAACATGACACGTTTTGTTATCAGGGTTTGTGCTGAGGTAACCACTTGAAATTCAAGGACTATTCAAGGAGTATACAAGGACCCAAAAATTAATT